AGTGGGAGGGCTTCTAATGTCCTGGCCCCACTGCTGGACCTCCTGATGGCACCTGGTATTTTTGGCCACTGTGTGACAGAGTGTTGGACTGGATGGGCCTTTGGCCTGATCCAACATTGGCGTCTCTTATGTTCTTAAACATTTTCTCACCATCTCAATCAAGACAAATAAGAAATGAAGGTAACTCACTCTGCAGAATGTCTCAAAACAACTTGGCCAAGTGAGAGCCAGTGTGGAGCTCTCAGGACATTCACTCTCTCTCATTTCAACCTACCCCATAGGGTTGTTGTGAAAATAAAACCCCTTGTGCCCTCTGCTCTAAGTACAATGATCTAAGTACATTCACTGCAATCCCCAGTGCTCAATGCAGCAAAGACAACCTTTGAGCAAAGGTGCCAATAATCCTGCACCATCCAGAAATGCTCACACAGTGAACACCACAGTACAGGCAAGGGTCCATAGTCCTAAAGTACGCCAGTTTTCCTTAGAAAAGTGTGCCATCTTTGAAAAGCCTCTGAATACCTGAGCTGCCGGAGGCTTGAGAGATGAGAATGCCTCTCCTGAATCAACTCCCACAGGCGCCCTGGGGTCGCAACAACAATCTCTGGTTTCCTTTTCAAGACTCGCTGCTGCTTCTGAGAAGCCATCCCGCCAACGAGAAGGGCTGTCTTAATACCTGGAAAGAACAGTTTGGCATGACATTAATGTCTTGAAGCAGTTATCTCAAGGGAAGCTCCATTCTAAAACGTGTAATATTTCACAGCACAAAGGCAAACTAATGACACGCTTCACCACCCATGTGAGAAATTGCTGAACCAGCTCCTCAGAGGATGAGCCTGCAAGTTCTGTCCTGCCACCAAGCATTCCTTTAATTCAAAGAAAGCCTTAAAGCAAGATGCTTCCCAGAACTATGAATACAGAAAGAGATTGGTTGCTCACTGACAAGTACCAGGAGGAACAGTACAACCTGATACTAACAAATTCTTCTGGAATGGAGGGTGTTCTTCATAGAGAAACACTCAGGAAGCCTTACAGCCAGGGCTTTTTCCCTGAGGGAATGCACCGGAACAGAGTTCCAGAACCTCTTTGACAAAATTCTTTTGAAAATGTTTAAAAGTTCATGTGTTTTCTGTACACAGATTGAAAACTTCATTTCCCTCTTGAGAATTCCGGCATCTCTTTTTCAAAAAGAAAAGGAAAAAAAAAGCCCTGCCCAGCTTTTGCTCCAGACTCCACCAATAACCCCAAAGAGCCTCACACCAGAACTGAAGTTCTAGAATTCAAGGTACACGCTATCCTATAAATATTTATTCATTAGGTGAACTCTATAAGCACTTCCCAAAGAAATGTACATGGGATCAGGCTGTGTGCTGACACAATTCAGACCACAAAAAGACCTCTGTTGGCCAGTATCAATTTTTAAAAAAACTTTTCTCTTGTCTGGTAGGTATTTATAGACCAGTGTCCCCAACCTCGTTGTGCTTGTGAACAACTTTCAGAATTTTGAGAGTAGGGAATGGGTGCCATGACAAAATGGCTGCCGTAGAGGGTTGGGGTGAGTCACAAAATGGCTGCCACAGAGTACTGGGGCCAGTCACAAAATACTGGGAATGTGAAAGCCAAGCACCTCCTACTAGGAAGACAAAGAAAAATTAATCTCAGAGAGGCTTACAGTCACCTTCCTTTCCTCTCCCCACACCTTGTGAGGTAGGTGGAGCTGAGAGACTTCTGAGAGAACTGTGACTGACCCAATGTCACCCAGTAGGCTTCATGTGAGGGAGTGGGGAATCAAACCCAATTCTCCAGATTAGAGACCACCTCTCTTAACCACTACATCATGCTGGCTCACAGTTGCATCTGGGTTCTGCTTTGGGAAAGAAGCAAATGGGCACCAGGAAACCCCTTGGCGGATACTATGATACCCATGGGCTCCACATTGCGTATCACCGTTCTTGATCAACAAAAAGCTTTGGTCCTCCACTTGGTTCTCTCTCTATTTGTTGTTTATTTGCTTATTTATCTGTTTCTTGTGCTGCGGAAACATAACTGTTGCACAATAGGGTGAGGTTGACTGAGTTGGAAACGTTTGGATATCTCCCCCCCCTCCCCCAAGATAGAGGAAATTCTCTGTTAATATATTCTCAAGCTCAGTTTTTAAAAGCTGTAATTTAAAAGGGGTTCTTTTAACATATATTTTAGTGTGTTCTCAGCCTGAAAATTGTTATTCATTTTAGCCTGATAAATGATGTATGTTTTACACTGTTGCACAGATTTAATTAACAACTTTTAATATTTTATGTTTTTATTATGTTTTGTAAGTTGCTGCTTCTTGTCTGGGAAGGTTTTGTTCACTGACCAGAAAATTCTCCAAATGCATTAAGGAGTTAAATTACCTCAAGTCTTAATCAAAGTAAAAACAAAATGAGACAAAAGCTGTCACCAACAACACCATCCCCCACAGGAAGAGGGCACACACAAATTACAGGAATCTAAACCACATAAATATCCCAAATTAACAGTCACCCCCTATTCAGTGCTCAGGAAATTCTGTTTCCAAACATTCCTGTGGATAGCAAGGCAGAACTTCCTGACTTGCATATATTATGCAAATGTACAGCATTGTTCTCACTTTGCATAATTTATTCTGATTTGGCTGGTCATGGGAAGGGGCTGAGCAGTCCCAATCGCTAGAAATTTTAATTTACTTTGGCTTCTGAGAGTTTAGTATGCACTGTCAGTGTTTTTAAGGCTCACAGCTATTCTCATGCAGGATAAGTCTGTGAGTAGCTACTAGCTATGATGACTGAGGGGAACCTCCACGTTCAGGAGGCAACATCAGGGAAAGGTCTCTGTCTCTATGCCCAGTTGTTAGCCCTGCAGAGGAACTGGTTGGCCACTGTGTGAGACAGGATGCCAGACTAGATGAGCCACTGATCTGATGCAGGAAGATTCTTCTTATGTTCTTACAAGGCCTAGAAAACTCATTTTTCAAAAATAAAAAGTGAAATTCTGAGGAAGCTAAACCAGCGGCCTTTATCACACTCTGCATTTCCTCTGTTAGCAACACACAGCTCTGACACCGTTATGCTACTGAAGCTGAAGCCTGCACAGAAATGGAGCCAAAGCAATTTCATATGAGCTAGCAAATTAGGCAAGATGCAGTGCCAGGAACGGACATACCTGTGTATTTGGCCACTGCATCAATATGATGCTTGACTTGGACTGCCAATTCCCTTGTGGGAGTTAGGACCAATCCCAGAAGAGGACTGCTTTTCTGTACATCATCATGTTTCTTGGCACCCAAATCCGATTCTATATCCTCCGACACCTTCACGCAGCCTGTTGCCGGAGATTCGTCATCCTCAGCAATGGCACCGCTAGCTTCGCTCCCGACAGGGTTCAGGCCTTCTGCTTCCTCAGTCACTTCCCGGCTCGGCACGTCATCCTCTCTACCTGCTGCTTCTTCAAGGCTACTGTCACTTCTCCCTGCCAAATCATTCGAGGCTTGCCACTGCAGGACGGAGTGGATCATGGGAATTGCAAAAGCGAGCGTCTTTCCACTTCCTAAAGCACACACATATACACGCGGCATGAGAGGTCTGCTTTTTGTAGGTCTGCTGTTTGCAGAAAAACAAAAAAGATATAAGTCTGTGAGTAGCTACTAGCTATGATGACTGAGGGGAACCTCCACGTTCAGGAGGCAACATCAGGGAAAGGTCTCTGTCTCTATGCCCAGTTGTTAGCCCTGCAGAGGAACTGGTTGGCCACTGTGTGAGACAGGATGCCAGACTAGATGAGCCACTGATCTGATGCAGGAAGATTCTTCTTATGTTCTTACAAGGCCTAGAAAACTCATTTTTCAAAAAAAAAAAAAAGTGAAATTCTGAGGAAGCTAATCCAGCGGCCTTTATCACACTCTGCATTTCCTCTGTTAGCAACACACAGCTCTGACACCGTTATGCTACTGAAGCTGAAGCCTGCACAGAAATGGAGCCAAAGCAATTTCATATGAGCTAGCAAATTAGGCAAGATGCAGTGCCAGGAACGGACATACCTGTGTATTTGGCCACTGCATCAATATGATGCTTGACTTGGACTGCCAATTCCCTTGTGGGAGTTAGGACCAATCCCAGAAGAGGACTCCTTTTCTGTACATCATCATGTTTCTTGGCACCCAAATCCGATTCTATATCCTCCGACACCTTCACGCAGCCTGTTGCCGGAGATTCGTCATCCTCAGCAATGGCACCGCTAGCTTCGCTCCCGACAGGGTTCAGGCCTTCTGCTTCCTCAGTCACTTCCCGGCTCGGCACGTCATCCTCTCTACCTGCTGCTTCTTCAAGGCTACTGTCACTTCTCCCTGCCAAATCATTCGAGGCTTGCCACTGCAGGACGGAGTGGATCATGGGAATTGCAAAAGCGAGCGTCTTTCCACTTCCTAAAGCACACACATATACACGCGGCATGAGAGGTCTGCTTTTTGTAGGTCTGCTGTTTGCAGAAAAACAAGATACAAAAAAAAACCACACACAACCATAGCAGGTGCCGAAAGGAAAGCATCCCACTGCTGTATCTGCACGTGCTCTCTCGGGATGCTGGGTCCCAAAGACCACCAAGCTCACCTGGAAACTTATCTGTGATTCCCGGAACCTACTCCTAGTTTGTTTTTCAAAAGAGCAGCCATTTCAATCTGCTGAACACAACAAAGCCTTCTAGTCTCTTTTGAGAGTTATAAAAAAAGGAGTGTCAAATTTTTAAAAGCCCAGCTATGTAGAATTTGTTTCTTTTATTCTTGTCAATAAGATATGAAGAAAAACTGGGAGACTGTTGCTTGCTAGGGGTGTGCAGCAAGCGAACAGCATGAAGAAAAACTGCTTTTTTGTTTGGGAAAGAGAGAATCCAATTACTTTTGCTAACCTTGCTTAGTAGAATTTCTTTTAAAAAATCACTGCAGTCAGAATTATCATTTTTGCTGTTTTGAACAACATTGTATGCCATCTTAAAGGGAAAAACTGTGCCCTAACTGACTGCTCTGATCAACTTTCTCCTCCACATAAAGACACTGAAAATCGGGACAAGGTCCAGTAGAATTCTATTTGCCTCTCCTCTTGCGATGCAATTTCCCTTCCTGTCTTAACACCCAATCCACACCATTTCACTCCTTGACCTGAGCATGGAATAGGGTTGCCAGCCTCCAAGTGGGGCCTGGAGATCTCCTGGGATTACTACTGATCTCCAGACTACAGAGATCAGTTCCCCAGAGTGAGAAAATGGCTGCTCTGGAGGGTGGACTGTATGGCATTAAACCCCGCTGAGGTTCTCCTTTCTGGAGGGTGGACTGTATGGCATTAAACCCGGATGAGAGATGGCAACCCTACCATGGAACTAGATGTTCTAAGAAAAGTAGGGGATTCCCCTCCGTATGTTTCCCTGGGGCAGGAGAGGGAACATTTGCAGGGAACAAGAAACTGCTCAGTGTGTGTGGCTGGATAGGGAGCTAATCCTTCCCCCACCAGTGAATTTCTCCTTGCTAATGCTCCTCTAGGCGATTTGTAATTCTTCCTCCCCTAAAAAACTTGAAATATCTCTGGCCGAGGGAAACAAGCCTTGGAAGGAGGAAAGGCACAGTCCTGCGGGTTCAAGTGGCATCAAGCCACCCCTCACCTGCTTGCCAATCCTCACACTCCTGTTATCTTGTCAACTGAAGAAATGGAGACCATCTGGGCAGCAGTCATCAGCTAGTCTCTGGTGTCCAGACAGAACACAAAGCCCACTAAGGAACATTCTGACAATTAGGCAGACTGCGTGACTCTTTCCAAAAGTAGAAGGTGAACATGATGATGATGTCTTAGATCAAATCAGCCCTTTACCTCTTCAAGTTCGGTACTGACTGGAAGCAGCTCCCCAAGGTTTCAGGAAGAGAAAGGCTTTCCGTAACTCCTGCCACCAGGGACTGAACCTGGAGACTTCAACCTGCAAAGCTCCACCGTGGAGCCACAGACCCTTGTTTTCAAGAGCCAAAGCCAGAGGAAAAAGCTGTGCAGAACACATTGCTGGCCTACTCAGGAGACTTCACTAGGGCCTGACAAAACATTTTCTAGCTTATTTCCACACTGTCCACAAATAATAATAATAATAATAAGGCTGATATGGTCAGTATGCTGAAATTCTGTACCCGATAAGCCCACTTTTTGGGGTATGCTTATAACAGACAGGCACCTTTGGAATTCTGGCACACTGTGGTAGAAGAAGAAGAAGAGAAGAAGAGATTGGATTTATACTCCGCCCTTCACTACCCAAAGGAGTCTCAGAGCGGCTTACAATCTCCTTTCCCTTCCCCTCCCCACAACAAACACCCTGTGAGGTAGGCGGGGCTGAGAGAGCTCTTGACAGAAACTGCTCTATTTCAAGGACAGCTGTGCCAGAGCTTGTGACGGGCCCAATGTTACATCAGCAGGTGCGAGTGGAGGAGTGGGGAATCAAACCCGGTTCTCCCAGATCAGAGTCCGCGCACTTAACCACTACACCAAACTGGCACAGCCACAAAACAGACATTCATACAATTGGCAAGAGACAGGGCAGCAGCATGAGGTTGTACCTGTTTCCGCAGCACCAAGGACATCCATGCCATCTCGAATGGCAGAAGGCAGAGCCAGAGCCTGAATAGGAGTTGGAGCACTGAACCCTAATTCGCCCAGTGCCTGAAGAACAGGCTCAGGAACAAAGAGACCTTTCCACGCAGACATGTCTACTAGGGGATCTGACGAGGCAGACAGAACTTCTGCTGTCCAGTTTTTCGCCTTTTTAGAAGATGCAGTGGGTACCTCTTGAGTAGGACACGTTTTCTTCTTTTGTTTTCTCTTTTTCTGTTTTCTTTTTAGGCTCGTCACAACTGCCGCATCACTCTCAACTTGGCTAACAACGGTGTCTTCCCACTTGGTCACCTGATCCTCTGTGTTCAGTTTGTTGCTTCCCCAGGCCTCCTCTCCCAGATTCTTCTCTTTCTTTCTCTTCTTTTTGGGAACCATGCTTTCTGTGTTCTCCTCCTTGCTAACAAGTTTTCTCTTTTTGGTTTCTTCTCCTACTTTAGAGGAAGCCACCAATTTATAATCTCTAAGTTCTTCAAAACACACCAAGCCTCCAAGTTGCTCGTCGGCAAAAAGATTTGGATCGATCTCAACCGGTTTCCATTGCCCCGTTACTTGGATGCCTTTTCGCTTCAATTTCAATGGGGTCTTAAACTTGTTTCCTCTTTTGAGCTTCATGGCTGACCTTCAAAAAAAGAACCCAGGAAACTATTGTAAATATGCGGTATTGACCAGATGCCTGTAGGCCAAGGATCAGCAACTTTTTAGACTTAAAAGGGTCAACCCACACCAAAATTCAGAGCAAGAGATCAACAAAGAGCCTGTATAAGAAAGCCCATTTGCCTAGCAGGAAATACACAATTTAACATTACTGATAAGCAGCATGTTGATTAATCCTTAGCATTTCTGCAGCTCACGTAGTGGCACACAAGAAGTCTCAATAAAAATACACTGTAGAAGAAGAGGAGGAGGAGATTGGATTTATACCCCGCCCTTAACTACCTGAAGGAGTCTCAAAGTGCCTTACAATCGCCTTTCCCTTCCCCTCCCCACAACAGACACCCTGAGAGGTAGGGCTGAGAGAGCGCTTTTGGTTCCCCCTGATTAGAGTCCGTGCTCCTAACCACTACACCAAACTGGCTCTCCTACACAATTGTTTTAGTGCACTAAAGGTTTGTATGGTACAGCCAAAGCTTTAGTGGCTATTTCAGATTAATACAGAACCCTCATTGCTGCTCTGGGCCACATGCACCTGTCCCTGATCCCATTCTGCTTCCCTTTCTCCTTTTACTCTGTGTTCAGACATTACAATAAATTGGGATTTGTTTAAACCACAGTTCATGCAGCAAGATCTAGTTTAGCTGACCAGACCTATGTAACAAATCCTGGCTTGGGCCTAAGCCCCTGGCTGTCTGCTGCTTGTTTCTCTCCCACCTCTCCAGAGGGAAGATATGCCCATTATGCTATCGTCTGTGTGGTCAGGCAGCTGCAAGGGGCAAGTCTACTTGAGAAAGTATGAAATGTGAATTTAAAAGCCATCATACATAGAACAAAATTTTGTCAATAAACCAGTTCCAAGCCCCATTTGGAAATTCTACTTTGTCAACACCCAACAAACCTCATTCCATTGGACAGTCTGCATCTGGATGTCATAACTAACCACAGTTTGAAGAAACCACAGTTTATAAACAGTGGTCTATTGTGACACCTGAAGGCCACCTTGCTATTCAATCCTAACCAGTTATACCCTTCTAAGACCAGTAAAGTCCTCCTTCCATCACACATAGAACAAAATTTTGTCAATAAACCAGTTCCAAGCCCCATTTGGAAATTCTACTTTGTCAACACCCAACAAACCTCATTCCATTGGACAGTCTGCATCTGGATGTCATAACTAACCACAGTTTGAAGAAACCACAGTTTATAAACAGTGGTCTATTGTGACACCTGAAGCCCACCTTGCTATTCAGTCCTAACCAGAGTTACACCCTTCTAAGACCAGTAAAGTCCTCCTTCCATTCCCCCCCATATATTTATATACTTTATGTATATCCCACCTTTCTCTCCAATGGAGACCCAAAGCAGCTTACATTGTGCCCCTCTCCTCCAGTTTATCGTCACAACAACCACCCTGTAAGGTAGGTTAGGCTGAAGGTGTTGGTATTGACCTTTAAGGCCTTGTGCGGTCTGGGACAAACGTATCTACGGGACCATCTCCTCCGGTATGTCCCCAGGAGAGCCTTGCGCTCTACTGATAACAATCTGCTGGTGATCCCTGGCCCAGGGGATGTCTGGCTGTCCTCGAACAGGGCCAGGGCCTTCTCAGTCCTGGCGCCGACCTGGTGGAACTCTCTGCCAGACGACATCAGGGCCCCTGAGGGATCTTATGCAATTCCTCACTGCCTGTAAGGCAGAGATTTTCTACCAGGCTTTTGGCTGAGGGCAGTAACATTTTTTCCTTGGCTGGCACCCCTCCCTTCCCTTCCTCCTTTCTGAATTGCTGTTATAAGTTCCCTCTCCCCGTGCCCAGAAACTGGCCTGGTAGTCCTGAGTTGAAACTAGAGGGTGGAAATTTCCAGGACGCCATCATCATGGACTCTATTCGGGGTTTTAGTTATTATTTTTTGTAGAATGTTAATGTTTTTATGGCATAATGCCCCCATGTACACCGCCCAGAGTCCGGCATAAGCTGGGATAGGGTGATTAACTAATAATAATGATGATGGTGATGATGTGTGAGTGTGACGGGCTCAAAGTAACCCAGCAAGCTGCCATGGCAGAGTGGGGACTTGAACCGGCTTCTTCCCCTACAAATGGAATAGCGGCCTAGACGTACCTATAATTTCATTCGACCTACTCTATCATTGTTTTTGTTTGAACACCCTGCCAAACAGATCCAGCTGACCAAGGATTCTGGTAAATTAATGTTAAAATGGTAGCTTTTTTTTTAAATTGGAAATTTATTTTTATGTGACTTTATATTCTCTATGGCCTTCATTTTTGTTAATGTAATAATATCCTTGGTGCAGTATTATAAAAAATAACAAAAGATGTACCTGTAATTTGACCCAGCAAGGCAACTCTTAGGGGAAGCAAAATTAGCATCATTCCCTTAATAGATGGGGGCGGGGCTGTTGTTTTTTTGAGTGAATAAAACCTTGCTACCGAGTGAATAAAACCGAGTGAATAAAACCCAGCAGCTGCCGAGTTCCATCTGAGTTATATTTACAGCCTTCTTCTTGAAGGTGCCAGAAAGCTTGGGCACGGCACCCCACTCCATGTGGCTGATCCAGCAATTGATTCCTGATCTGCTTCTCAAGCCATCCTGTTAATTTGTTTGTGATTCATCTATGTTGTATTTGTTTGTTTGCTGCAAGGACTTTTACTTGGAAATAAGTGCTATTGTTCTAATATGGGTCTGCTGGAAGAATGACATTGGTGGTCTCAGTGGTACAGGTACCCAGAGGAAAGTGCCTGCAATCTACAACTTCCTTCTCCTTTGGATAGTCTTTCTCAGCCTGTTCAAGCCTTTTTTAAAAAAATAGCTGCTAGGACATTACCTGGGCCAAACCAGTTTTTCTCTGAATAATTAAAAAAAAAAATGACTCCTGTGAGAAACTCCCACTTCAAGTTGCTGCAATATGGCCTTCATATGCTTGTGTTCTCTTAGTAGCTTTGAACATTTGGTTCCACACAATTTGTTCCGAGCAGCCATCCTCTCAAATTTGGTTATTATTTGTAATATTCCCCCCCCCTCAATCTTTTCAGCAAGCCTGTCCAAGTTATGTTACACTTAGCAACCGCCCTATGAGAATCTATCATCTCTAAAGTTGTTAAAATTTGATTGTAAAATTGAGTGAACCCATTAAAGCAAAATAATTTCAGATTTGAACCATGAAATCTGTGACCAGGAGACACAGGAAATCTTACTGTTACTTGCACTTAACAAAATAGTTAAGGGAGCCTAAACTGGAGAACCTGCTACTTTATGCAGAATACTCTTGTTCCAGTTTTAAACAGACAGATGTGTAAATGTCATCCCCCCCCCCTCCCATGGGAGATCTGTATTTGACTTAAGCATAAAAGGCAAACAATGAACAGAGGCATCTTTCTCCACCAAAGAAATACAGCACTGGGGTTTGTACAATTGCTGAATTTGCTGCCCATTTGGTAATAGCAAATTATCTCTGTGGGGGAGAGAAGGAAGAAAGGAAGGGAAGAACTCAGTTCCCATGCACTGACCTCCAAGGTACAGAATAATCAGAGACTAGGAGCATTCAAACACAGCAAAGAAGTGTAAAAGAGATCTGTAAACAACAAAAAGTTGTGGGCTGGGAAAAGCAGCATCTGTAATGTAATACCCTGCAGATATACTAAAAATCAAGAGTGGGTCTTCTGTCAGTTTAAAGATTTAGCAGATATATACCAGGATAACTGTTCTTGGGGTTCAACACCCTTTATTAAAAGTTTCCCGGTCGTTTGAAAAGCAACTATCTCCCAATATGCCCGCCCGACAGCAACCTAACGCCCAAATTGCACCATTGTTAACTACAGCAATACCGGTATCAACACCGAAGGGTGGGTGTTTCGTTCGAACACTCATCCGACGCGACGGCACGTGTGAATAGTTCGTACAGCCCCATCTTAATCATACTGGTCCAGAAGGAAGAGCGATTGGTGTCAATGGCGGGCTATAAATTATTACCAAGTCAGTAGGCTTAAAGCTGCAATCTTATAAGTGGCTTGGTAAAACTATTAAGGGTGGGGGGCGAGGAAGATCTGGTAAACTGGGTGGGGGCTTCTGCGGACTCCCTTTTCTTTCTTCCCAGCCACCCCACTGCAGCTCAGTTGCCGCTCGAACTACCGCCCCATGTCTTCCTTTGCCCAGATTAGAGGCTACTTTTGTCTACTTGACAAATAAGCAGCCCATCAAGCCGCGCTGGCACCCACCGAAAACCTCACTGCGAAGACACCAACCTCAGCTCGAGCAGAAGACTCTATGCCGACGCTTCCTGGATTATCCGACCACGTGGGAGTATCACGGAGGCAGCCATGACAGGTTGACGTCACTCTCCTGCGCCCAAACGAAACTTTTGATAGAGCAGCTGCCTGTAAACGCTTGGCGCCGGCTGCGGTAATGAGGTTGGGTGTTTCTTATTTTAGCTGTGGATGAAGCAATGCAGGTGGGAAGTCCGTTCCGGGGGTGTGTGTGTGTAGTGGAAGCAAAAACATCAAAGGAGTCTTCTGGCAACTTAAAAGTTTTAATTATAAAATTGTAGTAAATGTTTTCGTGGGCTTCAGCCCAATATAGGGAGTGGACAAGACAGAGGGAAAGAAAGGAACTGATCGACTATGTCACACGCTCAGATTTGCTTTCGTGTTCGCTGGCTTTATCTCTGTGTCTGTCTTTCTCCCAATTATATTCTTTCTGGTGAGCAGGGCTGCCACGAGCCACCATGTGCCTCTAGAAAAAGATTCCATCTGCCCCCCATGACCCTGATCCAAACCAAGTATCATAACAAAACAAATAACTTGGCTAGCTGTTACCACAAATCAACAATAATGAAAGGACCCACATATCCATCTGCTTGTCCATTTGTGGTGGGCATAACTCATCAGAAAATAAAACTAGGAAAGTCAAAATTGGCCACCAGCTTCAGGATGATCATGCAAGTTCCCGGGCCAAAACTGAAAGGAACTGGAATAGTATGGCCCAGGTTAACTCCAAACTCTGCCAATGCTGTTTGCAATGGAAGCTAAGCTTGTGTAGGGGCTAACGTGTTGGATTAGGATCTGGGAAACCCAGGTTTGAATCCCTATTCTGCCATGAGCAAACCTGTCTTGGCTTGGGGAAATCTCTGCAATAAAAATGAATATAATCCCAAAAATCAGCTTCTTATTCCAGATGTTACCAATTGAGATACATGACAAGATACTGAAGGACTGGCAAAGACAGATGCACATTCAAATCAAGGGTTAGATTTAAAGTTTTAAATTGTGTTATCAAGTTGTATTATCAAGCACCTTGCTTGGTTTGGATTTCTGACTGGATTACAAATCCGAATTAAAGACTGATGAGATTGGAAGCAGCAAATATCGCTGGTACATCACCCCAAAAAACAGTGAGAAGATGAATACAAACTATAAAGGATTGTGTTGGAAGTGTAAAGAGATAGACGGTACTTTTTTCCATATGTAGTGGTCTTGTAAAAATACTAGCAAATATTGGACAGAAATACATATTGAAATTTTTTTTAAATTGAATATTAAATTTGCCAAGTCACCAGAGACAATGTTATTAGGAATCTTACCAGTGAATATGGATAGAGCAATGTATGAATTGTTCCGATACATGCTAACAGCAGCAAGAATAGTATTTGCAGCCAA